AAATTTGAAGATAAGATTGTTTTGAGGGGGGGGGGGGGGGGGTAGGGGGGGGGGATACGTGAATTCGTCGGGTGGTGGGTGGGTGGGTGGTAGACCTCTTTCGACGCTTGTGGTCGGCGGTGTTGTCACGGCTCGCGTGATGATGGGCTTCAAGACGGAAGAACGGAAGCCAGGCAAGCGGGAAATCATGCCCCTGATGTAGAGAGTAAACAAACAGGCCCATGTATGGCAGGCGGGAATCGTTTACCTGGTGTTGAGAGAACAAACAGGCCAGGAGGGAAGGAGGGAAGGAGGGAAGGCGGAGAGTAATTTTCCTGACAAACATGTGGAGAATAAACAGACCCACGCAAAGCAGACGGGAATCGTCTTACCTGATGTACGAGCGAGGGTCCGCGTCGTCGTCGACGCTGTTGTAGTCGCCGCTCGCGCGCACGTTCGGGACGGCCAGGTCGGTGTCCCAGGACGTGATGTTCGTGTCGAGGAAGTCCAGGCTACCGCCGTGCCCGCGAAGGTTGAAGAACTCCGTGTCCGTGGACTTGATCCTCAGGGCGTCGCAGTCGCCGCCGGAGGCGCTGCCGTGGAGCTGAAGAAAATGTCAAGAGGGCGTTTTTAGGGGGGGGGGGGGGGGAGGGGCCGTGGGGTCGATGATTTTCGTGGGAGAGGACCGATTCTGATTTGTTTCGGGGACACGTCCTGCGGGAAAAGAACCGGTTCTGATTTGTTTCGAGCACCTCGTTGTGCATACTCTCTCGTGACCCCGTGACACTTGTCTCCTTCCCGGTGGGGATCGATTGCGTCATCACAGCCAAAACGAGCTGCATGTTCGAGATTGTTAGACAATGACCAATCCATTAGACTATTCAGTCAGCCACTGACTCAGAAGAGTCTAATGGAAAATTGCCTTTATCAAAAACAGAAGATATCGTGTTACACACACATACATACATATGTCACCAGGTACACGTAATTTTTCATCGCCGGTCGAATTCTTGAGTGCCGGATTGATTCATCTCGGAAACTTGCTCGCTCGTCGCACCTGCAGAGTTACCCCGTTGGTGACGTAGAGGTCGGCCTCGATCAGCCAGTGCCCCGTAACCTGACTGGCGTTCATGATCTTCTCCCCGGTCACCGGGTTGAGCGGGGTACAGAGGGCCCTGGACGGTGTCGTTGGGGGGGGGGGGGGGGGTGAGCGAGGCGAATTATTTTAGGAAGGTTAACAAAACTCTTCAAGCCGCAGCGACGTGTTCATTTTCGCACGCAGTTGTATGGCAAAGGAAGGACGCTGCGTGTTCTCTCGTCGTGGTAGTGTCCGGGTGGTTAAAGCAGCCTTTCGTGCGTGCTGCGGTTGTTCTTGCTGACAGCTTTTGTTGCGGCCCAAGAAACAGACATCAGATCTGATCTGTGTCTGAAACTCTTGTGTGCGTTTACGTTTGCGTTGGAGGCACCATGTGTTTCGTGAACTCTCTCTCTCTATATATATATATATATATATATCGCTCGCTCACCTTGACAGTGCCGTTCTTCTCCACCCGCTCCGCGAGCACGTCCGAGAGGGTAGCACAGCCACCGGTCGTGCCGTCGGTGTGCTCGAAGTACACCCTCTGAGTCGACGCGGCGTAACGGACCTGAGCACGACGACGTTGGGGGGGGAGATGCATGTGTTTATTGTCTGTCGGCCGAAAACAAATCGTCTCGCTTTTTGAAACGGGATCGGACACAGTTTTCACACACAATACATCCTGGACGCCTATTGATAGCATAGCATCTACTGGTGGTATGGCCAATTCATGCAAAGGCTTTTCTCTTGAGGGTGCCAGACCCCGGAAGGGTCAAGACGGGCGACGGAGGAGGTGTTAACCGACGGAGGCACCGTGGCTGCGAAGCCGACGGCCCCTGTCAAGGCAGTAGGATCTATCTGCATCAGGATGTTTTCTTTACAAGACAGCAACATAGCTCATGCGCACTCGACCGCGGTACGCACGTGAAGACAACATCCACCCGGCGGCCACACGTGCGTGCCAGTGGAACAAGAATAAAGTCCCCAGGTCTATGTACATAGTTATCCCTCAGCAAGAACCACCAAAAACACCCCCCCCCCTCTCGATTGTTGTCTCTTACCGTTACGGGGATGGTGGGGTCACAGGCGGGCTTCGGGAAGGCGTAACCGTCCCACGGCGAGGGAACGACGGTGTCGGTGCCGACCGCGCCGGTGTCGATTACCCCGGAGTTGGTGGCCACGACCGAAAAGACGGGGCTGCAGCCCGAGGGGCTGGTGGCGCCGAACACCCCAACCTTGATGGAGTCTTTTCTCGGGGGGAGAACGAAAACACAAAGAGGAAAAGTGGTGCCAGCACGTAGTTCAGATAATAAGTGTATGGAGAGGGGTCGTGGGAGGCCGACGGGGCGTGCGCATAGACAATAAAAGTCTGACTACATTTACGTATTTTTTCAAGTACCGTTAGATCCCCGTTGACAGTCGGTCGCTATGCGTCGCTATGCGGGTGTGGTCAGCGCCGCCGCAACCTGGTGGACCACCCGTGAAATATACGCAACTACTACTATAGACACCACCATGATACAACAAATTACAATCCGTGCTAAGGATCAAAGGAAAGCGGACCTCGGATTGGAGGCAGCCCTGCATATGAGCAGGGCAATTTATCATAGACACCACCATGATACATGTACAACCACGCGTGCTTGCACTGGATACAGCGTTCTCTCCTCTTGGAGTAAAAAAAAGAAAAAACGTTACGTACAGTCGTTACTCCGACACAAGAGGGTACCTTTCATGGGAGGGGGCTCCGAAATAAGAGGGTCGAAATTGGTCGTCGCGGACTCGACCCGCTAAAGCATAGGAGAATGTAAAGCATAGGAGAATGTAGTTGGGTGCCCTCTTATTGCGGTATTAAGAGGGGGCTCCGGCTTAAGAGGGTCGAGGGCCTTCGTTACACCACCCTCATATATCGGAGCCACGGCTGCCACGCGAGACACGGGAAAGGGTTGCTTACATTCGCCAGACATGATGTCGGTGGGGATGACGACGTCGTAGTCGCCGGCGGTGTCGGGGCACCCGATCAGGTCGCCCTGGGAGTTGGTCTTCCCGCAGATGTCGGCCACCCTCGAACCAGAGCAACCCGCACCAGAGTAGAGTTCGATGTCGAAACGTCCCTGACCAATGGCGTGGCAGCAGTGGAGGGTTCATGAGCAAGAAAGAGGGGCGAGAAAAAGTGTCGTCGAGAAGAGTTGAAACGTGACAGAAACGAGAGAAAAATGCCCTTCTCCTCTCTCAAGTCTAGCACAGCGAATCCAACTCCACCCATAGGTAATGGTAGAGTCCAGGGTAAATCAGCAACGAAAATAATAGCGTTAGAGGAGGCGCTACCTGTGCTTCTACTGTTAATTTCCTTATATTTCCTTTGTTGCTCCACTACCGCACTGCGGAAAAACCAAATAAAATGGCTCTCTTCAATGAGGGTCACCTGGGTGCTGCCCTCGCCGTCGCTGTAGTCCCACTCGACGGTGACCTCTGTGCCGGTGATGACCGCATCCTCGACGTCGAGGGCGAACACGTCCAGGTACGCGCCCTCTGGACCCGCGAGCTAAGTGGGGTAACACAGCAGCAAAGAGAGCGGTAGTTGGTTTTGGTTCCGTGAGGTGAGTAACGTGTCGCAGAACGAAGCGAGACCCCTCGTCTACGAAATTACCCATAGTTCGCAAAAACGACCTCACCCCTCATCGCCACTGCTGCGGGGCGATGCTGTTGGTGTGAAAGGGGAAAGAATATCCCCCTCAGCCCATCCGGCAGCAAAAAAAGCCACCGGGACAGATTTAACTTGGCGTCCGCCGATCAGCTGTCTCCATTTAACTTGGCGCCTACTTGGCGTCTTGTCTATTTTCGAGTAAGTTTGGCAATTACGCCGCTTTTTCTTCTGGGCGCACCGCATTCGAACCAACCAGTTCAGAGACCGACACACATCAGGCGGGAGCCTGGGCGCTGCAACTGACGCATACCAGACGCCAACAGCAGCAGAGACCACTCTGGTCACTGTGTGCACGAAGTTTCGCAATGTCAATCCACACTGAGTGTCGATGACGAGTACGCAGCAGCACCCGCTAGAAGAAGAGCTACAAACACGCACGCACGCATCACGCACGCACACACACGCGAATATTTATGTCGAGCTACTGTAGCACAGCAGTATTACCCACACCCAGGGATCCATTCATGCTTTTATATCATCTGCGCGCCCGTCCTCTCGCCAGAACACTTCAAGTAACGTGATGATGATGCTCTGGCAGCTCCGCTTGTTTTTTTTCGCTCTCTTGACTCCATCTATCGGTAGGTTCATAATTGGAGTGAACACCCCACCCAAAGCAATCACCATCAATCATCCATCCATCCCGACGTGTCGGTTTGTTGACAACCCGCAAGGCAGAATATCTGCACAGTGATTATTTTGCTGCCCCAGTGACGGTACCTCTGCTCTGGTGTCTCCTTTCCTTCATCGATTCATTGAGTAAGGTGCAACATTTTGAAAGCGTTTGGCTCGCAGATGAATGGGTTTCACCGTTTATTGGCGGGCTTCGCCCGCGTATTTAAACTCTTAAAAGCTCTGTCCCGGTACATTAAAAAATGCCAGAACTTGACTGTTGGTGGTAGTAGGCATCAGCAGCGCCGAGAGTTTGAGGACTGCTTGAGTTCATCCCGACTAAAAGGGGCCGAATATGATTTAAGCCGGTCGGACAATATGAGTTTAAGTCAGCGTGTGTTTTATTTTCGGAATTGAAATTTCAACAAGTTGCGACCCACGTGCTGACACAAACACAGCAAGTAGCAGTGATCCACCCACCAGCCGGCGAAGGTTTTGGGTACGACTTTGGGGCAAGAGTAGCTTACAATCCGAGGAGTCGCACGATTGGCTCGCGTCCTCGAAGAGACAGCAACGCCCTTGATCAGCGGCCTATAGAGTCGGGCTAACAAGCACATGTTTGTCATCAAAACATTCAACCGCTCAAAGTTCCACATTAATTACTCATAATACTGCCAAGACCACCAGAAAGCCACCACGTGTGTGCGGGGTCCGTGACAACACTCAACAACTCGTCTGGGGATAGCCGCTATGACCGACGGTTTGGTGACTCTGGACGTACGTCTCCATTCCAACAAAAAAAGACACCTCGTACAAACACCCCGCCTCTCTCGCCACCGTCACCTGCAACGACGCGAAGTAAACTGATTGTGTAGACTACACGCACTTTAACAATCTTCGACAGCGAACGATGCCACAACACGGTTCGGGCGTACCTCTTCCTCGCTGGCGATGAACGGCCCCGTGCAGCCCTTCACGTCCGGGTAATCGTGAAGGCTCAGCAGAATAGAGTCTGTCGGCATTTTACAAAAGACATTGGCAGCAGACAAAGTTTCACCAGTGCAGGAG